ATATATATATATATAACCAAAAGCATTAACATCTTCTGACCCTTCGAAATGTTCTTTTTTAATTATAGCCTTGACATATTAGGCCCATAAGTTAGTTTCAGTTTCAATTTTCATAACCATACACTTTGGTGCGTCAGTTTGATTAATGTCTTTTGGCTGCTGACCTGGATAAAGGGTAGAATGAAGATTGGAATGTTGAAAGCAAATTCAAGGGGAAGATCGAGAATTCATATCGATTGGGATTGCGATAATAATGATTAGATGCATCAGCGCCACTGTTTGCGACACAGCCATATCGCTCAGTGTCTCCACGATCTCGGGTTCCCCAGCCAGGGAGCCTAATGGGACCTATGTGACCGAGTGTCCTGATCAGGGTTTTCATACCCTCATGCCAGGTCCTCGTTTAATCGCCCTTGATCTTTACCAAACGCTACCTGCCTCGGCAAACATCTCACGTCGCGGTAACCTATTTGGTGAAATGCACAGCACATATTCCATTCCACGTAATCTATAAAGGTAACTACTTGCTCTAGTGGACGACCGCGATTACCTAAACCTCCACACCTAACCTCAGCACTTCTCGTTCGGTTTCCCCACCATACTCACGCAGGTCGACGTAAGTGGTGATGTTCGAACACTGAAAATTTATTTTTTATCTTGTTCCCGTAATGGCCAAGTCTCTGCAGCGTAGAGTAGAAATGGCTGAACGGTCGCAGCATACACTCGACCCTTCATAGACAGCTGGATATTGTGACGGCGCCACAGATTGGCAAATGCCAATCGAGCCTTATGTATGTGAGCGGATACTTTATTCGTGATGCTTCCACCGAGTGAGAGATAGCTACTCAGATAGCAAACGTTGTGTTCTTCCATTTATACTTCTCCAGTCAATGTGAGGTTGGGGGGTTGACCAACTGTGATGATTCTGGCTTACTAGATGACGCAAACCACGGGGTGACATGTTACAGTTTTCGGACAATTGTGATGAGTCAAGCTTCCCAGGTGACGCTACCAAAGTGCCTACGCGTTACAGTCTCTAGACTACGAACCATAGGGCGGTCGTACCAACCAATCAGAAGCCACACAGTAGCTCTACGACGCCAGGAATATAAGCACACGATTGGTACATGCTTGGATGACCAATGAGCTCATTTTGTACATACTATCGAAACCCCGCGGTTTCTTCCAATAAATGAACTGCTACTCATGTGGCCTTTTTCTTGCTTCTCAGTTACGTGGGATACCGTCGTGCATAGGGCAGTTTGATTCAGTGCTTACGTGACATCCGTGATTCCTGATAAGTGATTCATAATTCGTGATCCGAGTTTACTTTAACCACTACACAAACTCAATCTTGTAGCAGCATTTTCCACTTTGGAGGTGCAAAATGCTTGCCGAACATGGCCATGATAGCACTCAAACTGTCCAGGAAAGCTTCAGACTTACTTGAATGGCCCATAAGGCTCTCATCACATGCCTTCAACAGTCTATGAATATTCTCACTGATCTATTACAGTTCGTCTACAAGCTTGACCGATCCCTTCTGGATGCAGTCTCCGCTTAGTCTTTAAATGATTCCGTTAAGTCTGTTTGGTGAACCCTTGATTATTTTTCACCATTTGACTGAATTTCTTTGGGCAAAGTTGTTACAGTAAGTTAAATCGTTGGAATGCCCTAAGCAGTCGTCGTTTGCTTGACCAAGCCACTAGTATACTGGCAGGGCACAAACCACTAGAATTGAAAAGGCTT